ACAGTGACGATGATATCGATAGCAAGCGAATCCACTTGTGGCTTTCAAACGGCTCTTACAGGGCACCCCGCTGTCGGTGCATATTGCTTTTCTCCCGGCGTAGTTCGACAAATGGCTGGTACACACTTACAAGAGGCACCGTAATAGACTCGTCATAGTGCGACCCGGTAATGTATGTAGGCAGGCGCGTTGTGACACCACCATATCTGTCGCCGAAGTTCAATCGCCCATTCCCATCATGAAGACGATCGATTCAAGTGTTCTATTCAGTTGAGAGTACTCTCACGGAGACGCTACCAATTGTTTTGTCATTGCGATTTGGCAACAGCAATTTACACAGATTATGGAAACATCGAAGGTACCAGGGTCCCAAGGCCCCTGAGGAGGAGCGGTCATTGGTGATGAGATTTTATCACCTAAGTAAATATCATCTTTTCTATTGATTCTCCTTCTTTTATTTTATCAAAAAAAATAACCAGCGGAGTATTGACTGGATGACTACATATATATATATTATATTATTATACTAGTATCTATGATATATATTAATATATAATATTAACGAATATATCAATATATATATATATATATATATATCTATATATAGATATATATTATATATATATAATATTATATATATAATTATAATATATATATAATATATATTCAATTATATATATAATTATAATATATTATATATATAATAATAGTGTTTTTGTGAATTTTTTAGTCCGTTGAAGTTGGAAGTGAAGTCGGCGTAAATTAGCATCTTCGACAACTGCTGATTTACGTCTACTCGAAGTGCTAAAATCGCTTAAGCTGCTCCATACATTCGGAAAGGTTGAGCTAGAAGTTTCAACAAGGGAATCTCAGTGGGAACGCTTTGGAACTAATTTCAAGAATTTCAAATTTGGCAACCTTCACCTTGCCGATATTGGGCAGGCTCATGTCTGTTCCACCTGAATTTTTGCTAATAAGTTGAATTAGTTGGATATGAATTTATATTTATATACGAGAAATTTGCTATTTAATGATATTAGCTTACTTACAAATTTTTACTTTGTGAACAAATTTTTCGATTGAAAGAACGGCTATCACTTATTAGCCAGCCACTGCTAGTGGGGCTGGTTAACTGCTAGTGGCTGGCTAATAGTAAGAAATGACGTTTTTTTCAAATTTGAAAAATTTGTTTCAAAAGTGAGAAGTTTTGGCAAGCAAGCTTATATTCGTTTAATAGCAAATTTCTCGTAGTATTAGAATGATCAAATTATATCCAACTAATTCAACTATTAGCATGAAATTTCAGGTGGAACAGACGTGAGCCTGCACCAATTTGCAGAGTGGAGGTTGCCAACTTTAAATTCTTGAATATTGTCAAAGCGTCCTACTGAGATTCCCTTGCTAGCTTCTAGCCCAACCTTTCCGAATGTATGGAGCAGCTTAAGCGATTTAGCACTTCGAGTAGACGTAAAATAGAAGGCAGTGGTCGAAGATGCTGATATTTTCGCCGACTTCACTTCAGCTTAGACGACTAAAAAATTCACAAAAACACTATCCTCAACCAAAGTTCTTTGATATTCTTATACTACGAGAAGTTTTCTATAAGAATTGATATATAACTTGCTTGCAAAACATTTCACTTTTAAAACAAAATTTTCAGTTGAAAAAAACGGTCATTACTTATTAGCCAACCTAATACAAGTAATTTGGCCTTCATTCTCTACGAATATCCCGCTTTCGCGGCTTCACAGTAAGTAACAAAGGCGTTGTGGCTCACATAAATGGCAATTCCGACGCCTCTCTAGTTACTCCACCCGTCACAATCCAAAGGCTTCTCTGTGTCACAAGTTCAGTTTTTGCAGTTTTCTTTTCACTGCTGGTGGGTATAAGCACCTGATGACGGGAGGAAACGATTAGTAAGCCAGAAGCGGTAGGAAATCCTTTGCCTCATAAAACGAGCAGGTCCGGAGAACTCGTCCAGAGAAGCGGTTAGGTCACGAGCATAGTCGTGGGGTTTTACTTGAAGACAGTAGAAAGTGGCTTGCCTGCTACCAGTAGCCATCTTGCATTTACCGTCGGGCGCTTTGCGTTGTTGTTTGATGATAGCTACAACTTTTTGTCCTTTTCCGTTCTACTTTTTAGTCGTTTATTTCAATGCATTCTCCGCCCTTTACAATCCCACTGTTCGAAATTCATGCCAGATTGTGATCGATCTTTTGCCTGGTGGTAGATTTGGGTGAAATTTTTGTTTTCGCGAGTTCATACCTTTCGGTCAAACAAGCGATGCCAACGCATTTCCATCATCATTTGAGGTGAAACCTGTGGGTAAGATAAAAGGGTAAAGCTACCATCGCTGATCAATCCCTTTCTGAGATTCACCATGCATCCTACTTCCATTCAATATCATTTTGGCTTTTTGAATGCAGATGCCTTGTGCAATGAATTGGGTTGAGCTACGTGGGCTTAGAGGGAGGTACAAGTCAATGTTCTAACCATTCCAGACAAATCTGGTGCAAATTCTTCCGACCCATTCAGGTAAAGGGCTGGGCTGATCCGGGCGGGAATCCAGAATTTGATCCCACATCCACTCGCGTGGTTAGCAGGCCACTTGCAGCTACACCACCTTCGCCCCGGAATATGCCAATGATACTTTGACGATTAATCATTAGTTTTCAGATCTTTTTTTTGTAATTACTAGCTCTGTTGACATTGGTCATCATTGTTCAATGATGACCATTCAATGAGTCATATGGTTCAAAAGACCAGTTGATTGATGAATGTAAACAGAGCTCCAGATGGGCTTTGCACTTTTCTCCACGTTAATGGATTCGGATGGTCTGGCCTATCTTATAAATTTTCAGCGCATCCCTGTCATTGCAACATTTGGTGTCAAAAGACGCCGAGATGAGTCAGCAATGAGCGCTTACGTTGTCATTACTCGGATGTTACAATTTCTCTGTCTATGCCTAATATAGAGGAAAAGTGCGGAAGTCCCGATAGGTTAGGTTCTCGTCCCTCGACCCCTATTCTGTTGAAGTTATTGCCCATCCGGGATAGGCCACGCGCACGCTCTCCTTCGAGCTGCACGTCGTACATTAAGCTGCCCAGCGATTCGGTCGCTGAAAGAGGGCAGGGGAGGGAAATATGGCCTTACTCCTACTTGCCTTTGAAATGTTCCAATGTTTTCGGTTGTTGGCTTTTCTTTGCTCTTTTTCTGTTCCAAGGTGTTGTGTACTTCCCCCCCCCCTGCTCGAGTCGACGTCAGAGTCCGTTAAAACAAAACTGGAAAAAGTTTTGAAAAAGTTTTCTGCAAAAGCGGTAGAAATATCAAAAAATTTAGGCGGTAGACAGAATGGAGTACAACGAAGGGTAAAGGAAGACATTTTGGGGGTAGTACTTTGCAAAGATGTTTCCACACAGCAGGACGTGCCCTGATTACGATTCCCAATGGAAATCGCTTGTGACTTTTACCAGTGAGTGACCATAGAAAGCGCTCTGCCGCCTTGCCCTTTAACATATTTTATCATTCCCTATATGTCAATTACTGCCTGCGTAATTACTTGTCATTCTCCTTAACTGGTTGTAATTGAAGAAGCGCCGAATTCCATCGTTGCGTCTACGGATTCGGCGGTGAATCATCTAATTGTTTTTTTATGTTGGTGGTCTGGACCACACCCTGGGACTTTCATTTAATGAGAAAAAAAACTACGTCATAGCTAGAGAAGGTTTATACTTCACGCTATAAAAGCGAGCAGGTTTATGCTCTTTATCGTTCAAGTATACCGAGATCTGGATAGATTTAGAACCAAGCAGATAATCTATTAGTTGCAACAGGGGTTAACGACCTTGGGCGGAGTTTCTTTTTCCCTACCATAATTTAGCCATCGTATCCTTGTTTTGATTCATATGATGATTTTACTTTTCACAGACGGTAATCCGTGCTATGATCGTGAGACATTAGCACCACAACGATGCGTGCCAGACTTCATCAATGCAGCATTCAATCTTGAAGTCGAGGTTACGAATACATGTGGTGTACGGTATCCCACTAAGTAAGTTACACAACTTTGTTTTTGGCTTTCTTTCTTCTTATCGTTTTCTCCTTCATAGCCTCCGCACGCTTTCTTCAGATTTTGCGTCCAGTCGGGTCATTCTGGCTTGCGAAGCGTCTGCGACACGTGCGATGACCGACATCCGGTAAGTTCACCTATAATTTTTAAAGCAATTTGGCTTAGGCATAGGTGGGGAGGGGCTAACTTTCTCTCTATGCCGATCTTTGAACTCATATAGAGCTTATAATTGCACCCAGCGAGTCTTGTGCAGGAGGGCACTTCGTACATTGGCGATCTGCTGTCGGGGTAAAGCATCTTTGTGTGAAACACATGGGGGCGGGGCGCGTTTTTAGTCCTTGTCAGGGTCGAGGGGGTCGCATGCGCTTTTGAGAGAAGTATGCCTGCCGCGTTGGGGAAAAAGTTTTCCGATTGTTGACTTTTAGCGGTTTTTTTTTCGTTTCACACTGGCATTCTCATACTCCCTACTCCAGCCCGGCCCCCCGTTCAACGGAGAAAAGTTTTCCTTTTTCTTGGGGGGGGGGGGGGACTAGTAAATTTGTGGGGAATTTTGGAAAAGCTGGTAAACCTGGGAGCATGTAGGAAAGTGTAGGTAAGGTGTTGGGTAAGGGTGCTCCTACCGAGACCCTTTTTCAAGGGGTAAGGGAGTCGTACTGACCCCACCATTTCACACATCACGATGCTGTACCCTCTCTGCAGCGAGGGGGGGGGGGTGTTTGTCGCTAGAGAGAAGGAAAAAGTCGTACTCCAATTTACTCTTCTTCTGTTGAAGGGATCTAGAGACGTGCTTTAATTTGGAAAAAAAAGTAATTCCAGTTGATAAGTTCTTTAGTTTTCATTTTCGGCGTTTTGCACATCCAGCTCGTTCCTCACCGACTTTAATAATGCAATAATGAGACATGGTGGCAGTCAAGACTATTGAATGAACATATGCAATATCCAAATAGTGTGAATCTCACACTAACTTTAGGTACACTTTTGTGTTTATCAATTTTTCGCTCTTACAACTCATCAGTGTCGGAGCTGTTAATTCATTTTGGCTATTACGAGTGTAGGAAATATTGTTGAGAAAATGAGACTATAGGGATGAGCAAAATGTGCCTGCTGCTATTAGACCGAAGGATGAGGGCAGGGCACGTCGCAAGTTGAGAATCCTTAGCGGAGGGGTCCTGTGTGGTCGCCAAAGGGAGCAGGTGGTTTTAGGCTGGTGTACATATCCCACTCCTCCCCTCCCGCTCGATGGTAGGTTTTGTTTGGATAAAGCTGAGAGAATATGTGGAAAAAATTCCAAGGATGCAGTAGCAGTTGGGAAGCCTCAGAAAGATAGAGTGGGGAAGGGGGGGGGAGGTGCTCGTGCCAGAGGAGGAACTACTGAGCGCTGGTCGTATCACGCAAGGAATTTCTCCAGCGACAGATTCGCCTTAGTCAGAGAAGTGTGTTTGGACATTGCAGGTGTGGGAGGTGGGAGACGTGGCAGAGGGGGTGGGGTATATTACTGCTTCATTTTTCGTTCAAAATTCTCTATTGAAGCAGTTCTTCTACGACTCCCTGAAATATTCACTTTTCAGGCAAAACTTTTGACATAACCTATGTTAGATTGAAGTTCATTTCTCCACGACCAGAGTCTTTTGCTATATACAAGAAGACATCATTAGATGATGATTGGGTACCGTGGCAGTTCTATTCGTAAGTCATACTTACTTATTTCATCTTACACTGGATTACTAGAACCTACACATTTTACTTTTTTTAGCTGTCAATAAATAATCAAGTCCATTCATACTACGTTACTGTTTCAGGGGGTCTTGTCGTGCCACATATGGTCTTCCAGACAAGGCTCCGATTCTCCCGGGTAATGAAGCTGTTGCTCAGTGTACCAAGGTTTGCAGAGCCTAAGTGACAAATTATTAGACTTTACTTTTGAACACTTTGTTCTGCAGGAATTCTCTGACATCTCACCAATCACCGGCGGAAATATCGCCTTCTCCACGCTTGAGGGCAGGCCGTCAGCACATGCTTTCGAGGATAGCGATGTGTTGCAGGTAATTGGAAATTAAGTATTTTGCTATAACAACTTGGTGTAATGGAACTGTTAGGTCTTGCCTGACGCTTTGTGAAGTATTACAACTTTTGTCGTGACTTTTGACAATCACTACATTACTGTGACCGTCAAGCTTCTTTTTTTCTCGAGCATTCTTTTTTTGGCAAGTGTAAGCGATGGCCACCACACGCGATTCGCTTTTTCTTTTCACAAGAAAGATTATCACTGAAACACTGCACGCGTTCTGCATTAAAATATTCAAGCGGACAGTCTTTTTGCGCCGGTCTTGGTTGTAGAGTCTTGTTCGCTGCGGATGACGGGGTGTGTCAGTGAGGCTGGGTTTGGCGCGCCCTCAGTCCGTTCTCCAACAGATGTTGAAGAGGGTGAGCGACAACAGTTGGTGCAAAACGGTAGGTGCAAGCGATACAGACAGTTGTGTACCTTGGCGAAAGACAAAAGCGGGATGACGCGTGCCGAACTCATTCCCTTTTGACACGCCCCATCATCCGCAGCGAACATGACTGAGTCAAGGTAGATTTTTTTTTCTTTAGTTCGTACGTTTCAGCAATGGGTGACTGCATCAGCCATCAAAATTGTCTTGAATCGGATGAACACCTTCGGTGACGAGGTTTTTGGTGATCCACAAGTACTGAGGAGTTATTACTACGCAATATCCGACTTTGCAGTCGGAGGCCGGTGAGTTATCTTTTACCTAATGCATTAACTTGAATTTTTCTAAGGTTGTTTTCTTCATTTTTATTGGGAGCGAAACCAAACTGCCTGCGAAAGGAGGGCCAGTTTACTCAGCAGGGGACCTGTCAAGGAATTTTTCACTGATGAGAGGCAAGACGGGAGAGCAGTTCGTGTGAGTGGATTACGCGACACTGGAACTTTTGGCGTGGGTCGTGGTGCGAAAGCCCAGAGCAGTAGAGGGCTGCTGCTGCTGCAAGGTATCACAATGCGGCGATAGGCTTTTCAAGAGAAAGAGCTTAAGTAGGGATGAGCCTATCAGGCGTAAAGAGCTGCAATGTGTAAGGTCACTGTAGTCGTAGAATGTACTGTAGGCTTGAGAGCGTAGAGAAATTCGCAAATTTGAGGTAATCTCAGGGTTTGAGTCCAAGGGGAGACGGTGAGAACAATCGTGGTTTGCGTCGCGCGCGAAGCGGGCGCGAAGGTTCCCTAATTTGTATAATTCTTTCGGTCTGCGTACAAGCTCATTTTTCACTAATAGGTGTGGAATGTATCCTACGTGGGACGCCTGCAATTGGGACATCCCAGTCGTGCCCACGCACCCTAAACATGCGCCAGTTGTGTACAGCCTCTTACTTGATTACATTTTAATGCTAAGGAACAAGTATTTAACAAAATAGTGATAATTTTAGTTGTAAATGCAATGGTCACGCGTCGGAATGCGTTCGTTCCTCCAGTGTAGATGGTGAAAATAGGCTTGTTTGTCGTTGTGAGCACAACACGCAAGGTAAGCTTGCTCCTCAGACGGTGTACGGCTCCAGAGGCTTAACCTTCGTCTAAAACCTGTAAGAATGCACTTTTCAGGAGCCGATTGTGACCAGTGCCTGCCGTTCTACAACGATCGGCCGTGGAGACCAGGAACCGCCAGCGAAGCGAACGAGTGCATAGGTGACTTTCGTTGTAGCAGTGTTTCAAGGAAGATTGGGCCCAGGTCCGGGCTCTGCTTCTTTGGCTCAAAACAGCTCTACGCAAAACTAATCGGTCACCCTTCGATCCGTTCACACTGCAGGATAATTAGGTTGGGCAAAAAGTGCTGCGACAGTTCGAACGAACGTTTCGGGAAGAGAACTACTACTTCTGTAAAGTTCCGGCCCCTGATTATTGTGGAGTTCTCGGAGATTTCTGCGGGCGCGGTGGATTGATGAAATATTTGAAGCTTGAAAGTATATCGGACCACTTTTTTCTGGACCTATCCTACAGTTTTTGAAAGACCATTACTGAACGCATTAGAGCTAACAAATACGCTGTGTTCAGCCCGGAAGCATGTCGATTACAGCGCCACATTGTCTCGTTGCTATCAGTGCTTTGCAGCTGGAAATAATTCGCTCACAGATAAGCAACGCTCTGATGGGCCTCTAGGAAAGAATAATGACCGCCTATCGCTACTTTGAGCGCGGGTTGAAGCACCCATGAAGTGGCGGCAGATTTAGGCAGTAAAGTAGCGAAAAGAAAACTTCAGTGTTTTTCGTAGTGCTGCAGGACTTTTCGTTCAACCTGGTGATGTTCATGTTTCTTTTTTCTCTCTACATTTTTCTTTCCTGTTCAGTTTTCTTTTCATGTCTTCCTGTAGTCTCATTGTCGTTGTGCAGTTTACTAGCAGAACCCTTCCGCGCTCATTTTCACTGTACAGCGAAACTGATCTGGGGGAGGAACTAAAATATTGAAAAGAACTCGCCAAATTTTGGTCTAAGAGAACACAAAAAGGACGCAATGGGAAACGGTTCTTGAAAAGTTGATTTTATCCATTGAAAACTACAGGGGGGGGGGCAAAGAAAGTCACTTCACTTCAACCGAGTCACATATCAGCAAAGTTTTCGCTGCCCAGACAGAGGACGTGGATACGAGTACCAGGGCGGAAGATACCAAGATGTTCCTCTATAAGCAGGAGCTGGCGCTCGCCCATCACCTTCATGTACACCAAAATGTGAAGTCATCTCCAGTCGCAGCCTGACTGGAGAATACCTTTGGTATTCACGTTATCTCCAAACAGCTGCGAAACTCTAGTATGGAGTCACCCATGGATAGCCCCTGGAGACCAGTACTCTCGATCTGGATGACCTCCAACATCGAGCAGCTCCGACAACGTCGCCACGGTCTAGGACATTCTTCGCCACAGTCGCCAAGGCCTAGGTTGATGGTATGGACCGGATGTACATGGAATGGAAAGAAAAATATTTTCTTCTTGGACCCCGGGCTGAAGGTGAGTGCTGGCGGTTACATCGAGCAACTCGTAAAGAATATCTTCCTCACATGTGGCCGCCCGTACCTTCTTGGAAACTTTGTACTGCTACAGCATTGAGTGCAACCACCTGAAATCGAGGGCGTTGGAGAAACACTCGCCTACTTGGAATTCAAGAGAGCTGAGTACCTAAAGAAGATGGAATATCCAAGTAGGTCACCTGACCTAAATCCCCTCAATTACCTGGTTCGGGCGGAGTTCAACAGGGTGGTCTACGGTGGCGGAGAAATCGACTATCTTGCTGATCTCAGGCACCCACTCACGGTCGCGTGGCAGAATCTCTCGATGGCGCTCCTCCAGAAGGCTGTGGCGGAGTGACATGATAGTATTCAATGTGCTCTTAATATGTCGTTAGTGTCGTCAGAATTTAATAAACTGTAACTTATAGCGCCTCGAAAGTCAATGAAGGAAAGTGACTTTTTTTGCCCCCCCCCCTGTAGGGACCACACCCTGATGCGACCCTAAAATGAGATGAGATATCACTAAGATGTCGTCCCAGGGATGTCTGTCTCCATGTAGAGGACAAACTCTTTCTCATCCTCTTCGCATTCTCCCTTCGGCATTTGCTTTCTTTTCCTGCACACGCTTTCTGTGCCCAGTGTGCCTGTGCACTTAACTACAGTTTTGTTCGCTGCGCTGCTGGGGCGCTTTGGTGAAGCTGGGTTTGGCGCGGTGCCAGCTCGTTCTCCACTAGAGGATGAAGCAGGCAAGCGACCATAATAATCGATCCGAACGATATGATGCAGTCTTGTTGCCTGCCGAAAAGAAAAAAAATGGCTGACGCCGCTCCGGGCCCATCCTCCTTGACACGCCCTAGCAACGGCAGCGAACAAGACTCTAAATGAGCACCCTCCTCTGGATGGGGTTTCAGTAGATCCAAACTTCTGGGAACCTGGTGTCCTAAGCTTTTTGATTCTCATCTGTTTTCTGCTTTATATTTTACTTATTATAGCTTGTAACTGCTCTCAACTGTCCAATCGTTGCTTCTTTGACCAGGATCTATTCGAGAGAACTGGCCACGGAGGGCACTGTATTGATTGCCAAGGCAACACACACGTTAGTTAATCTCCCAACTGATCTTCTTTTGAAGTTTAGGTGCCATTAACGTAGAGTTCTTTAAGGGAGTGCATTGTGAGAACTGCGCCCCCAATCATTGGCGGCGACCTGGTGAGAACTACTGTGTGAGCTGCGGTTGCAATGAGGTAATCAATATTTACAACTAGCTTGGTGCAGTAATTAAGTTCATCTTGAACTTCGCAACTACGGATTCAATTTTCATCGTTTTCAGATTGGATCACTATCAACGCAATGTGATAATACTGGTCAATGTTTCTGTAAGCCAGGTGTCGGTGGGCGTTACTGTGATCAGTGTATGGATGGATTTTTCGAATTCGGCCCCAATGGATGCAAGTGAGATGATTGGTCTCGTAACTACTGAGGCGATTTTGCGTTCTAGCGTGATCAGTTTTCTCAAAGGCGACACGATGGCTGGGGGCGGGCTGTTAACATCCAACGTCATTGGTGGAAGGGGCGCGAGAGGGCGTTTGGCCACACCCCACTCAGCCCTTCTACCAATGACGTCGGCAGCAACCGCCCGCCCCCAGCCATCGTGCCCGCCGTCTTTATGAAGGAGGCGACTATATTGTAGTGTTCTTTTTTTCTCTGCCTATTTATTAGGTCATCTCATTGTTAGTCAAAAATTTCCGTGGTCTTAAATAATTTCCAAGGTTTGAAATAAAACGTAGAGGGAAACAGATTTGAAAAGCCATATTTTTCCTATACCCTGCTAATTTCTATCGAATTTTAGAGATTGTGGTTGTGAAGTGGCCGGATCCCATGGAAATCATCCCCATTGTGATGCGGTTACTGGTACATGTCGTTGTAAATCTAATGTTGAAGGACGTCAGTGTAACAAGTGCAAGCCGGGCTATTTTGATCTGTCTAAAGACAACCAGGTACCATTTCCTTTTGCCCCGAACCTCATGGCCCGATGTGATCGACTCGTTTCAGTTTGGATGCACTCCTTGCTTCTGTTTCGGTCATTCCTCTATATGTGCAACGGCACCCGGTTATTATGCGATGAACATCACTTCAGAGTTCGATACTGGTAACTTTTTTTGCATGTGCTAGAAGCAGCATTTATGCTTCCTAATAAAAGCCAATAAACAGTAGTTATTTTTGCATGTTAAACGCTTCAGACAAAGAAAAGTGGTCTGCGCAATCACATCATGGTCTCCTTGATGCGCAGTGGGCGGAGCTGGACCATGCTGTAGCTGTAAGTGTTGATCCTCTGGTAGTTATCGACTGAGGTCTTATTCGGTCGTGCTCTTATCAATCTGATTGAGGCATCCAGTGTCGATGATGGACCAGTCCATTTCATCGCTCCGGAACAGTTCACTGGTGATCAGCGTAGCTCATACAATCAACTACTAACCTTTGACCTCCGAGTGACAAAACAGGGAGCAAGACCGAGTGTGAAGTAAGTGAGCTACGCCCAGCTTTTGTACTGGTAAATGAAGTTGTGCACATGTTGCGTGCAGGGGACGCCTATGACTGGCCGTCTACATCCGAAGACCAGTCGCAGGCGCCTACGAAACGCACCGTGTTATTTGATAACTTGCTATTCTAGTTAGATAAAGAAGCAGCTGCAGTAGTTTAACTCACATTAAGTGCTTCGCTACCCCACAAAATTACAGTCTTATCATTACAGTCTCAGTCGGGGCGTGTGAATAGCGCATGGCTTTTGGCGCGGCACCAACCCCTTTTCCACACTCACTGAGCGAGCAAAGCCGCAACGATCGATGGGAAGGGGGCTCGCTCCGTATCAGACTTATGGCCCGCTGACACGCCCCGACCCCGTCAGCGATAACGATTGTGCCCTGCAGCCACAAAAATGGCTTTCTTTCTGAAGGGTGGGCTCAACATTTGGTGAGGCAGTTGTATAACTTACATCAAACCACTTTTGTATTTTCTGCCTAGAATAGCAAGTTCCCATTTGAGGCCTGACAAAGGTGCTATGCAGCGGAATATCGTAGCATCAGCAACTTTCGAGGATTTAGTAATTCTCAGAGTTTTTAGCTAGAGTTTTGTAGTTCCATACTGTTGTCAAACATTCAGATCATGAGTCTCTTTAGCCGGTTAATGGTTGCATAATAATTGTATTTGAAATACTGGCCCCGGTATTCAGGGATGTGGTCATCGTTGGTGGTGATGGCCAAGAACTGTCACTTCCGATATTTGCTCAGGAGAACCCAACACCTGGACCGGAGAAGCAGGTAATTCCCAAGACTTGTACCAATTTGACTGCTTCTTCCCCCTCCGTACAAAAAAATCTAAAATTTCTGACTGTTTTCTACACGTAAGACAATTTCTGTTTCAGTCCTATCGTTTCCGTATTCACGCGGACCCTCAATTCCAATGGCATCCTCGTCTCAATGAATTGGATTTCATCGGTATTTTGTCCAATGTTACTGCTCTGAAAATTCGTGGAACCTATTCGCATCAAGGTATTTCTGCTCGACTCCGCCATATTCATTTAATATTTGAGTTATTTCACCTAATATTTTTGGTTATAGATGTTGGTTTCTTGTCGAATGTTCACCTTGGAACGGCTGGATTAGCGCCAACGGCAGATCCTCGACCTGCCAACTGGGTGGAACACTGTGATTGTCTCAGCGGGTAAGAAATATTCCTCACTGAGAACATGTTTCAAATCTTGATTTTGCTGTCTCTGCGGTAGCCTGCTGAAGACGAACTGTGCACTCGCTTTCGTGGATTTTGATCTGTGAGGTGAATTGGTAGAACCGTGCACCTTTTTTCGGTCAAAAGTGCACGGAGTGGTCAAAAGTGCAGAAAGGGAACTAGTCTGCAGGGTACTAATAGAGGGGTACCATTTCCAGACTCCATCCGCGCTACCGCAGGGTCAGCCACACGCCTAACCATGGCCAAATGCGCAGCTTGTCTGTGCCCTCTCATCTGGTTGTTCTGTACTTCTGACTTGAAGCAAGGGGTAAGACAGATCTCCAAGACGTGCAGGATTAGTGCGCTTAGCAGAACAGAATTCGGCGCCTCTGAGCAGGCGCTAACTAGCGCCTTTTCAAGGAATGTACCCAAATAGCGCCCTATAAGCTGCAACATACCGTCCCGGACGCCTTTCGTGCCCACCCTCCCACAAATGCACGACCTCTGCTGATGCTGATGCTCGTATCGCTTGATTTGCGAAGTGCAATATGAAGCGAAGGGACTGACATGAAGCGACTGCGATGCTGCATTGATATATGGTCTACCGCAGCGGCTATTGGCACGATGCCAACGAGAAACTCGTCCGAAATCGCTCCCTGAGTCGTGCGGAAGGAAAAGGCTTTTAACTTTAGAGTTTTTGAGCAGGTTTTTGCACTATGTTGCACCATTGCTACCATTTTAGACCGAGCTGTAAACTATCACTCTGTGGATATGAGCGAGCAAAGTACTACTGGGGAAAAAATCTTATTTTTTTTCTTATAGATTCGTTGGTCAATTTTGTGAATCGTGTGCTCCGGGCTACAGGCGTGAGCTCAAATATGGTGGGCCATTCAATCGTTGTATAAAATGTGATTGTCATGGTCATTCGGACAGTTGCGATGCTGAGAGCGGTTAGTTCCATTGTTTTCCGTTTTCCGATGGCGTTCTTTGAATATTTATATTGTAGGAGCTTGTATCTGTGAACATAACACTGCTGGCGATACATGCGAACGATGTGCACGTGGTTACTACGGCAATGCGCTGACTGGTACAGATAGCGACTGTGAGGTTCGTTTGTATTGAATTGTTATCATTCTTCGGGCTGTGTGGGAACTGTTCTCTCGAAGACAAAGGTACACGGTGGATATCGCTGCATCACTCGGGGCGGTTTCAGGACGGATGGAATGAGCCAACCAATCGGAAGGGTCTCCCCACTGGTTGATTCCTTCCTAAATCGAGCGCGAGTCGATCATCATTGGTAGAGCAAGGCAACCGGATGCGTATTTATTCCTCCACTCCTGATACCGCTCCAACTGTTTGCGGCGTTATCAACTGTTTTTGAATGGAAAGATCGCTTAGCGTCGCAGACCCACGAACTGAAGGGGCGGCGCGTTTGTTTATTCTGCAATGTTGCATTAAGGAATACTTGCAAACATGAATAATTCATGCACCTGGAAGGCACTACCCATTTATCGACCCTATTCTCCGCAGATCCTGGGACCCTCTTTTTCAACAACTTCTGAGACATTGTTCTATGAAATTCGATAGGATTTGCTAGCGTATTCCTGTTCCTGTTCTCAATAACGATCCGGCACGAACTTAGGTTCAGAGCTAGGTATTGAAACCATGGCCTTTCCATAGGGGCATTGTCAGGCTTCAGATTTTCTGTCACCTCATCAGGGTTTCCACGCTCACATGGGCTCAGTTTATATTGCGAATCTACTGCCAAGTAACTACCTCCATCGCGTGTTTTAACCTTTTGGGGCAGGGAATCAGACTTTCGCATTTTTCTCGATACTCTCCCCCCCCCCTTGTAAATGATGTTAATTGAATCATTGGCTCCTTTAGTTTTGATCTATGCGAAGTATTTCAGAAGTGTCCTTGCCCCGAGGATGGACCATGTATACTGCACACTGATGGAGACGTCTTGTGCACGGAATGCCCTCTGGGATATACCGGACGACGGTGAGGACAGCAATATTTTCTTTGTTTTTGTTACAGTTGTTCCAAAGAGTACAGAATAAGGAGGAACGGACAAGACAATCGTTGTTTACCGTGTCGTTGCGCGACTTAGCGTGCGGTCATGTGCGGCAATTCTCAGTGTGCATCGGTTTGTCGATTGGAGCAGCGAAACTCATACGAATTTTAGCAAAGACACCAAAAACAGGCGACATCAAATATTCCCACCCCTTTGGCGCTCATATTCAGACGACCAGGCAGGACACGCGTCGCTCGCCGCGTCTACCAGTGCGGCATATAACGGATGTCTTGTCACATACCCCAGAATAAGAGCAAGGTTTCGCAGTAGGGACAAGTTTGAATCAGTAACGGAAAAGTCTGCCATTTTTACGGCTCTAATCTGAGAGCGTCGCCAGAGGAGACCTCGCTCTTAATAAGTACTTGCTCAGCGTTGCGCTGTTATTCAAATCGGGTACACCATTCGAGTATGGGGTGGCTCAACGCTATGTGATTCTAACACATATTGATTGGTCATCGTGCCACGTCACGCCGTGATCGCGCGCGCTGAATTTAACCCATTGCGTACCGCAGTGTATTTGCGCGACGCGATTTCTGGCGCGCTGAGTATAAAAACATAAGATTTTTATCTTACACATATAACATAAAAATATTGTACACACATAGTATCATGCATCACTTTTTTATGTAAACGTATGCTAAACGGGATTCAATATTGTTACGTGAGAAAAGTGTAAAGCCGGAAAATGCGAAACTAGCCAAAAAAGCTTGATAAAATTAAGAAGAATCGAAAAAGTAACGCAATGTGCTTAAAGGCTGTTCACTCACACCATTTTACAATTTTTTAGTCGTGTACTACGCAGTATTTCGGTTTTAATGGTTAAGGAGAGTTGATTAAAAAATGTAATAGTTGAGGTATTACTCGATAAATGCCAGCAACTTAGCTATTATTCAATCTCGCAGTTTCCCCCACACATATTTTCCCAGACGACTTCAGGAATATACCGACCCTTTTTCGTCATCTAACAATGTTAAATGAGTTCAAACGAAGAGTGCTTCACCATGTGCAGCACGCGGTACGCAATGGGTTAAACAAATATGCCACGTTCAGTGGGCAGCTTTAAGGTTCAATTAATTCAAAAGTGGACGTTTTCAGATGCGACGAGTGTTCAGACGGGTATTTCGGTAATCCTAAGGACGGTATTCCATGCAAAGAGTGTGAGTGCTCAGGAAACATCGATCCGAATTCGATCGGAAATTGTGACAAGTAAGTTATTAAATAGGATTTCATAATGAAGGCGTTTCCTGTGAAAAAAAATTCAAATACCATTTGTTCTAGGGTCACTGGAGAGTGCAAGAAGTGTGTCTATAATACATATGGATTTAACTGTGAAAAATGTAAGCCAGGATACTGGGGTGACGCACTGCTTGAGCCTAAGGGAGACTGTAAAGCATGCAAGTAAGTAATACCATTTTGTAACTGTAGTAAGTAATATTTTAATGTATTGCGGGTATTTCAGCTGTTTTGCTCCCGGAACTCGTCGACCCATTCATGATTACACAGTTTTGGAATGCTCACAAGATAACGGACAATGCGATTGTCTTCCTCACATCATCGGATTCCATTGTGATCAACCTGAGGTGAATTACTGCAGTAATACCCGACGATTCTGAATTTACGCGCGACTGAGAACAGAGAGTACTGGGTTGTGGATGTGCTTTTATTTTAAGAAATGATGAATTTTGCTCAAATTTTCAGAAAATTATTGGTCGACTTGTTATTTTACTATCAGTAAACTTACACTTATATCACACGCAAGCCTGATCTGACCAACGAAACAATACAAACGATAAAAACAGAACGCAAAAAAACTGAAAAACCCCTGTTGCTTGCTTAGAAAATTTGGCGCAGTTTGTCGACGAGGGGGCATTTTGCTTTCCATAGATGTGTCGACCCATCTAGGTAGCCGTTTTTCGACTTGACACGTTTCAGGGTGGTGGCTAGACAATCTTACTTCAGCTTCACAAGAGTTCACAAATTTTACCAGAGTGAGCTTTGTAAACCGGAATTAGGGAAGCAATGATAATACAAAATGCCCCCCCCCCGTCGACAAACAGCGTCGAAAATTTTCGCGCGAAAAGTACCGCACCTTCGCAAGATGGAGTTCATTCGGAAAAAATAACCGTTTGGTTTTACAGCATGGCTACTACAACATCAGCTCTGGCGTTGGCGGTCATCCGTGCGGTTGCGATCCTCTTGGATCTGAAGACTCATCTTGTGATGTAGTGACTGGTAACTGCAGATGCAAACCTGGGGTCACCGGAAGCACGGTGAGTGCAGTTATAAATGTAGAGTTACTTCAAGCTTAACGTTTTATGACGCCAGTTGTATTCCAGATGCGACCAATGTGCGCCATATCACTTTGGTTTGGTCCAAATGGTTGTCAGCCTTGTGACTGTGAAGTGATTGGCAGCGAGAGTCGTCAATGTGATGTGACCAATGGCAAGTCATCTATAACACCCGTCTCATTTTCCGTGTTGTGCACTTTACAGTCCTGGTGGCTCTGGATGCTGGGGCGTGCAGGAAGGATATGCTCGCGCACGACGCTTCTCCACCAATTGTGGGAAACGGGCAAGCGACAACAACAGGTGGAAAATGGGTTGGCCCGCTACAACCATTTTCACCTAGCCCCTTTGACGCGCGCGCGCATCTGTAGGGAACACGCGTTAATTTCGCTCAGAGAATCGTTCCGCAAATTTGAGGCGAGCATCGAAAACATATATGGATACTTGTTTTTGTTTTAAATATGACAGGCAGCCTCTGAAAATTTCTATTGCACAAAAACTGAAAGGCCTCAGTAGGAATCCAAAACCGGTATGTTTTAAATATTTTGATTGCTAGCAGCTTCTTCACCAACCTGAAATAGTTCTATCACTATGGCTAAGTTTGAAAAGAAGTTGAAAAGTCCCGAAGCTGGAACACGTCTACTAGTATGTTTTTTTAAGAAACTTTGAATAGAGGCTGATTCAATGTCTTTTGAAAATAGCCACACTGATAGAAGTATTCCTGTTCGCTGAAGGAAGTTCTCGGCACCAAAATATTCGGGAATATGACAAGGACTTTTGAAATTCGATTGGTCCAAAGTCCTACCTAGTAAAATTTTGGGAGCATGTCTGTGTCAACAGCATTGAGATGCTTCGGTTCCGTGACTGCGCGTTGTCAAGATATGTACTTCATCAAAACGGCCACTTAGAAATGGGCTCGTCCCCTCATCAAAATAGCGACTGATATCGCCACAATCAGTCAGGGCGGTTTTAAAAGGGTTGTCAAGAGCCCTTCGCGGCATTCTCATCACTGCCTGTTCTTCCCAAATCGATCATCACCCCTTTCACCATCGGGGTACAGCATCGTGATGTGTGAAGTGGTTGTGTCAGTACGACTCTCCCCCCCCCCCCTCCTACCACGTGGAAGAGGGTCTCGCACGACTCCCCTCCCCAACATATACCTACCAATCTCCCACATTTTCCAGTTATTCAGCCAAAATTTTTCCGCCGAGCGGTGAGGAGGGGTATATAGTACACATGGAACAGCAAAAATCACGAAAAGTCAACAACGGTCAACAAGTCCTAACACAGCGACTTCCTCTCGAGGCCACCTAGGACCCCCCCCCCTGTCAACAATGACCATATACGCCTCCCCCCCCCTCCCCAGCCGAAAAATGCTACCCTCCTATGGGTTTCACCCAACGATGCTGTACCCTTTTAACCACTGTTACGGCAAGGCTGCCGGACATGAGCTCTTTCTGACTCTGCTGATCTCTCGACTGACTGCGACCTTATCTTGGGGTCGAGAGATTTCACACATTGTGGATCGCGTGGCATACATGGTATGTCACAATGTTTTTGTCTGCGTTGTTTCATTGGTCTATATAGCATTCATTTCATGTTCTAGAATTATCGTAACTCTAAAATTATTGAAACTTAAACTTGTTTTTGCACACGGGATACCCCTTTCTCATACCCTCATATTTCTCATAATTTGCTGATTATTGATATAAAAGTGACGAAATATTGTGGAGATTCCCGCTGAATCGCGGGCCGCAGTGAGTTCAGACATCTTTTTACTAACGTTTTTATTTCAGGACAATGTCTATGTCGTGATCATATCGAAGGTAGACGTTGTGACCAATGTGTTGAGAATCGGTACGACATCAAATCTGGATGTCTTCCGTGTGATGACTGTTACACGTTGATTCAGACGAGAGTAAACGCGTTCCGTGACAGCGTGAAACAGCTTGACAATACACTCAGAGAGATTATTGAGAATCCAGCACCGGTGAGTATCTTCGTTGACGGGCTTGTTTCTAAACAAGCAATAGATTCCTCATTGAATCTGTTCAGGTCAATGATACCGCTTTCGACGATCGCGTAAAACAAGTCAGCAAAGAAGTGCAAAACCTTGCCGAACTTGTCACGAAGAAACTAGGTGAGGGCCTGTTTAAAAGCAGTTGGCACAACCCCCCCCCCCCAGACGAGTAGGACTAATACGATTGGTAGGACGGAATTCCGCGACCCTGACCAGGCGCTATGAATGCCTTTTCCAAGGAAGGTGCCCTTATAGGGGCCCTATCAAGCCACGACATTCCGGTCCAAATCCCCGCCACGCCCGCCCGCCCACAAATGGACGACCGTTTGACGCTCTAATCGTTTCATTTGCTAAGCAAATTATGAAGCGAAGGGATTGGTATGAAGCGGCCGTGATGCAGTATGGATATATGAGTACACATATGCAGCCGTATCTTCGGTGGTGGTTATTGGTAAAATGCCTACGGGAAACTCGTCCGAAATTGATTTTCAATTCATCGAGGATGAAGGCTCTTTCTTCGCGAGATTTCGACCGTTTCACTCCGTTCTTTCGCCATTTCCCCCACTATTTAGCGCCCTACTGGCATTTTAGGCCGAGCATCAAATCGCGCGCCAACTGCCTTTAAGTTTCAAGACGAAGGCGTTGCGAATAGCGCCACATGAACAGCACTCGTACGAGGACCTGAATTGGTTTAGTGTGACAGTACTGCAGTGCTTCCAGTCAACTAGCTGGAATCCAATCTGCTGCTTTCTTTGCCTTGTCCGCCCCTACTGCTAAATCTTGCACCACCACACTCTGCCTATATCACCCATGTTTGTCCCTCGCGGCATGCTACCTGGCATGGGAAGGTAAAGCGGGAATATCGAAACGACGAATAGTTCAGATTTGCAGCATTAGGTCGCTTCTTCCTGCCCGAAGAGGCCGTTATATGTCAAGAAACTGTTTCTTACTCTGGATAATGGAAAGTATAGGGGGATAAAGGGACATGGTGTAAGCTACCGAAGGGGCACGAAGGCTGCCCAGGAGGTAAACAAAAAAAAGGTATGAACCCAAGAGACTGGTAACACAGGCTGGATTTTTTTCTCAGTGTTGTCGCTATACCATCGATATTGGACGAAAGCAAGTGATACTGTTGCACATACTAACCAATGCTGCCTGTTACTGCGAAGCGCGCAGATGCGGTGCAGTGGTTTTTCTAGATACCAGTTAGCCAGTAGTGTGTCTTCGCAGTTGCTTTCAATCAAAAAACTTCAGCTGCACATGGTCACTATGTCAGGACCCGCTAAAGAAGTTTTTCTTGCGTTGCAGCTGTGATTCGGTTTTTGCCCACGTGCAGTAGCCCTTGATGTGTCCATTAATTGTAAGGGCGAAGGTCATACTTGCTTCGCAGAGGGAACACGGTCAAGACAATCAACATTTGCCGCTCTGTCGCGCGCGACGTTTTCTTTGGCCTGTCGATTGGAGCCCCGTGTTTCATATAAACTACGACATCCACATTAGTGGCTTTTTTCGGATATACATTGTCTATTCTCATCTGCAACCTAGAAATATCGCAGGCGCGACGTCGCGCGCGACGCTCACCAGCGCGGCAAGTCATAAGTAGATAGAATATAATATAGTATTGGTTTAATTCAACTGCTTACAAGTTGTCAAACCTTAAATTTTATCTCAACTCTACATTAAATATCCGATTCCCCGCTTTTTTAAACTGAATTTAGAATCAGACGATTCTGTCTTGGTCGGGCAAGTCGCTCAACTGCGGAAAGACGTTGCGGATGCTCTGGTGAACGTGCAAAGTGTAGACCAAATGATGGCATCGGCTCGAGGAAAAGTGGAACAAACAGAAGTTGGACTTCAACGATGGAAGATTATTAATGGTATGTTTACATTTTCTTGGTTGTTCTTAGTATAATACCATTATAGATTAGACGAGAGAGCGTGTAAAACAATGCACCCACGGCAGCCTTTTCCATCAAGTATCGCCGGCTCAGGATGGCATCAATTGGTGGAAAATGCCGCCTTGGCTTCATTTCAAGTCACGCCCCCCCCCCCCCTCCCTCGCACGCTCTGTCGTTTACAGGGAAAGGGCTTGTGGGTACTCGCGTATCTCTTTTTATTCTACAAAACACATGAGCTATTGCTGTCCTTTTGACGCCATTTTCGGCAATATCAGGCTACCACTACAACAACATCTTAACTCCTCTCATCCATCGTATTTATCGTTTGTAGTGCAGTGTCGTTCAGAGTTGTCCTGAATTACACACAGAACGGACACACTATATCCCGGGGTTGGGGAGGGCGTGGCTGCGTACTTTGTTCAAAAGAGTTGGCGGCTGAGTTGTAGAGGGAATACTGTTTTGGGATAATGCCAAGTCGTTCAGTCAATCTCGTGAACAATACAGGATGACAGTTGTCGCAAATGGAAATATTCCATGAAAAACGCACTCTCCGCCATTTTTTAAAAAGCCACGCCCCCTTAGCGTGGCTTGTGCCTCATAGCTAAACCCCTTATGTCCGACATATGGGGTGTAGCTATGAGGCACATGGACAACTGTGTGCTTGATATTAAAAATTTTCTTTTTCAGAGCAGGCGAGACATGAACTGGAGAATGCTCAACATTACCTGGAGACCGAGGGTAAAACACAGTGGGAATTAGCCAAAGAAGCCAGCAAGAAGTATGGAGAGCAAAGTCAGCAAGTAAGTATTTCCATAAAACATCGCTACTTGTGCAGTAGCTTTGTGGCAGGTAACACATGGGGATTTCACGCACGTTATAAGAAAAAAATAGCGTGCCAATGCGATCTTCCTTCAAAACCGAGGTCGAGATACGACCCTCCCCCTTTCAGCATGGACTGTCTTACTTAATACAACCCCAATATCACTGACGTTGTCGCGTCCTAGTGCATGGCGTGTCCAAGCAATGGAACAAATTTTTTCGGAGCTCTACTAGCACCTCACCATGTTGAGCGTGTGAGTGCATAAAAAGCCGTCAAGCTGAGAGGGTAGGAGCGTCCTTGGTGGCGTAACGGATAGTGCACCCGGAAAGCGTGAGGTGCGGGTTCGAGTCTCGTCTGGGCACAGACTTGCGCCCTTAACTCAGCATTCTTGTAATAACTTTGGAGCGCGAACTGCGCCGTTAAACTGCAGTTATCATAATAGAAACCTCAACCAGCATCGTTCCCTTCAGATGTCCAACCTCGCTCAAAAAACTCGTGAGGAAGCTGATCGGCACGAGCAGCAGTCAAAGGAGATTGAGAAACTTGCAGAGGAAGCTAACCTGAATGCGAAAAAGGCACACAAAGAAGCTCGTGATGCCATCTACGGAGGTTTGTTTCGTCACAGTACTGGCTAATTATTTAACCAAAAGTTTTGAACAGTGAACTACTGGAACTTTTCCAGGCGAACAAGTTTCGCAGCAAATAGCAGAAATGGAAGAGCGGCAAAAACAACTGAACGAAACGCTTGGAAGGTACGTTTCAAGTGGTTTCTTACTTTTTGCAGCGAATATCACCTGCATTTGCTACAGTTAGTATCGTCACAATCAGAAGGGGTGGGACGGAATTAACCCATTCGCAGCGTTTCCACCACCAGTTATTCCTAAATCGATCACCATTGGCAGCGCCTCGGCAGCCGGAGGCAGACCCATTCCTTCAATCCTGACGCTGCTCCGACTGAGTGGGACGTTATCAACTATATCTAGTCATGCTCGAAGTTGCTGGTCCTACCCGCCTGCCAGCAGGCTCCTTGAACCATGATTCGCAAAAAGGGGCAATGAGACAGCTTCATCAGTTGCTCATAATTAAGAGTCTCACAGAGCTGTACTTGAGCTGTACGTCCGACTGTAACAACAGCTTCGTAACCCACATTCTTCAGGACAATGGAGTTGGCTCAGGAACAGAAGAAAGCTGCTGCTACTGCGAATCAGGCCGCTGCAGAAGCTCTAACAACTGTGGAAAGTCTTCGTCTTCCCAATTTTGACCCACAACAGGTTTGCGTATATCCTCTAGTAGGTACAACTAGTCCTGCCCATTGTGATGGACCTATTTTCAGCTAAAAGCTGACGCAAAGGCAATCAGTGATGACGCTAAAGTGGCGATCGAGAATACCAAGAAGGAAGCGGAGAATAACAAAGAAATTCTGGAACAGGCTGCCAGAGCAGCTGCTGAGGCCAGAAATGAGTTGCAGAGTGCTGAAGACCAGCAGCAGGTAAGATTACCGTTCCTATCGGAGCCATCAGTGATGGTAACCGGTAACTTTAGATATCCGATGCCCTTCTTGCTGACGTCGATGCTGCAAGAGCGCGAGCAGATGATGCGCTCAAAGTTGCTGAAAATACTTTGAAAGATGCCGAGAGAACTCTGGAAACTCTTAACGGTAGAAATTGGTATCGGATGGCTTTTGACTCGCCATTAATTGGATTTCTTCAGAGTTCAATGAAAGAGTGGAGAAATCTAAAGCGGCCGCTGCTGAACAGCTGGGCAAATTGAGTGAGATTGAGAAAGCAATAAAGGAAGCTGAGGAAGTGACTGCGGAAGCTAAAAACGCTATAGGGTCTGCAGCTGTTGATGCGGCTCAAGCTAAGGACTTGGCCCGTCAGGCTGGCGAGGATGCGAAGGTCGTCAGTGAGGTTAGTTTCTCGACATCCTTGACATTCTTCAGGCTAAAGGACACTAGAAAGGAGGTGGAGGTGTACATTTGGGTGAGACCAGCAGGTACCTACGTCTGAATCACGGAAGGCAGAGCTCAGAGTCGGCGGAGGCGCGCGTCGAATCTGAGCTCTGCCTGGCGCTGCTACTGCAATGGCGCCAGGGCGCATCATTGCTGGGATTCCTCAACGAGGAGTCGTATTTGGTCGTTGTTAGCGAGGGAGGTCGTATTCTCCTTGCAACTTTTCGCGTAGGTGCACAATATACCCATTCCCCGCCGCTCGACAGCTCGACCAGAGCAAGGAACTAGGGGTGTCGTATCAAGTCACCTTCAGGGGGGGGGTGTGGTACGGACGCGACCAAAATCTCCAGCTAATGATGTATCCTGAATGGGGCTTCAGTGGACGGGAACCCAGCCATAGACCGGTATCCATCGGCGCCGGTCACTGTTGTTTTGAAAGAGTATGGGAGAATAGGAGGGTAGGTAATGCCAATCACACTGCCTGTGCCCTCCTGTTATCCTGTGCTCTCTCAAGGCACGAGCGGCCGGAGCCGATCGATACCCGTCTAATGTAAGGCTTCATTTCCATCCATAACATTGGAGCGCTGTTGCAGTGATAGCGCGACGCGCTCATCGTGGAGTCTATACGCTGGTGAAACATTTTGTTTTACGTATAGTACAGCAGTGACTTTTCGAGACACCTAGTAATCTGACTGCGCCTCTTTCTGATACTAACCATAATTCATTCCTTTTGCTGGTGCTGCTCGACAGCTTGCTCGACACTGGGTCTGGGGTCAAAAAGATTAAGGGGTCTGGTCGTGGCTTCACAGTGATTTTTGAAGTGACTGCCTTATTTTTTTCAATTATTACCTCACAATAAGGTGTAATTTTGAAGAAAGCGAATGCGTTCCAAAACATGACGAAGCAAACGCGGAAATCGGCGGAAACACTGAACGCCGACGTAGATCTACTGATGGAAGAGCTGACGGAAACGAACTCCACCCTGGACAGTTATAAGACTCAAGCGGAAACGGACAAGCAAATGGCTACTGAGGTAAAGCTACAGCTCCTCGGATACTCTACTACTCAGAATTACTTGTGCATCACGTCACATGTCGCACTTTAGGCTGTTCGGAAAGCTTCATTAGCTGAGAAAGCAGCTCGTGATGCCAATTCGACCGTGGCCGGTGAAACTGAGCAAATCAAGAGGATTATCGATCGATTAAGTGAGTTTCAGTTGAATCCTTGAAATGTCAGAACTCTATAGAAATCCATATCGATTATGAACTGTAGCTGTTTTGTTTCAGATGCGCTCGAATCAGTGAAGAACGCCGAATTGGACGAGTTGGAAACTGAGCTAGACACTTTAGATAAACTTCTTTCTCAGGCCGATATTGAAAGTCAGGTAAGGTGACGCAACTTCACTAGGTGTCCCACTTTATTCGCTTTATATCGATATTTAGGTCCCTCAGCATAAAGTATCAAAAACGGAGGAGGATAGACGTATAACGCAAATAAAGAACGAAATCGATTTACTCTCAAAAGAAGTAGGTCTTTTTGTATCGTCTACAACCGAACGGTAAGAGCAGAAGGACGATAATCTTGTTCCTGCTGCTCTTACCGTTCACTGTGTTGGATTACAACTTGAGTTGTAAAGGGTATGTGACAAGACAATCGTAATTTGTCGCGCTGATGGGTGTGGCGGGCGACGCCGCTCTCGACAGACGAGTTGTCCCATTTGGCCGTTTGAGGATAAGTGTTGAAGAGGCGGCAAACTTCTATAGCCCAATATCAGATCTTTTCTCAGCTTGGATCCATATGAGTTTCTCGGCAGTTTGACGCGCAAGGGTTTGCCTCTCATCGCCGCACTATACGCCACGCGGGACGACGCGGCAAATTACGACTCTTTCTGGGTCTTCAGATTGTGACTAGATACGCATCAGCGTCAAGCTCGGAGGCACTGTTTTCTTCGCCTTTCGTCATACTGACTACCTGTAAATAGCAGCATACCCTCCATATGCCACACATGGAGTAGGCGTGGCTGCCTACTTCATTTAAACGTAGTGGCGGCTGCACTTCTCATGAGAAAGTACCGTTCCGGTATGCTTATGATCATGCACTTGTCCAGCACGAGAAGTGTAATGGTTGTTTCTCAGGGTACAGCATGGTTGTGTGAAATGATCGTAGGGGGGTCGTAGTTTTCCACTGGGGAGGGAGGGTCGTATTTGGTTGTTGCTAGAAGAAGGGAAGGGTCCTTTCATGTGCACTATATTCCCCCCCCCCCTCTCGCTCGACAGCACGAAACGTCTGCAAATTTTTGGGTAAAAACTAGAAAATGCGGGAAATTGGTAGGCAGGTGTTGAAGAAGCGGGGATCGTACCGAGACCCTCCCTTAGGTGGGGGGGGGTCGTACTGACACCACCATTTCACACATCACGGCGCTGTACCCTGTTGCCTCTACTCTATGGAAAACGTGTCCTACGTCACTCTCAAATGAAACAAGAAGCCACGCCCATTCCATGTGCGGGATATAGAGTGCAATTGTAGGTGCAACATAATTTTTCTATGATAGCAATGGCTCGCGTTTTACCTATTTTTTTGTGACAGTAAAATCGGAAACTAAACTGCGAATACTAATTAGTCTCCGGAATGTTGGTCGAGAAGCGCCATGAAATAATGGTTTATTTTTTACAGGTACGAAATTTGGAGGAAATTCGCGATGCATTGCCGAAAAAGTGCTTTAACCAAGTGAAATTGGAACAGGAAGGCCAGAAGAAGTGATTTATCCCGTGGCCCGGGCTCAGAAGAACACTAATGGAAGAGCACTCAGTGTATGTAGTATATCTGTGAGGTGATAAGACCATCGGATTTCCTCCCTTTATCTTTCTCACTATTCATCTTTCATTTATGCATTCTTTCGTTAGATTAATTGATTTTACGCTGACATATTTTCTTTAGTTGTTTTTTTTCTGTCACCTCTTTATTAATATATACCTTTTTAATTGACCGAGTTATTGCCTAAGCACTCACACTGCCCTAACCTTTCCCCCGTTTTGTCTCATTTTTCTCACCCAACCTGTTCATCCCTTCCTCTTTCAAATACGTGCCTTGTCATGTACGGTCGTCACCTTCGCTCTAGGTACTAATTTATCTAATCGGTAGCTACGATTATATTGAGCCTCGTTCTCATGCTTCATGTATTGATATATTGCCAGTTATGTCTGTACTGTTTCGGATGACGTCTTCAATTATTGTAGTCAGAAGTCTTCATTCCATGTGTGTCCCCCCATACACAAAGCAGTACATTCACGACGTCGTCATCTGTTCACAGTGTCACACTCTTCATCGTTGCCATGTTGCATATATATTGATACGATCAGTGTTATCAGGTTACGAAAGCTTTGCTCTCTTTCTCTATGCCGCCTAATTTACTATCGGCTTCATCATTGGCCAATAAATCAATTTGCATTTCAACTTCACTTGTCTGACAAATCAGAATCATCCAATCACAGTTATAGAGGTCATGAATTAAGCGCTCCTCGGCTGAACGTGGAAGCCATTTTCACTTTCGCAATTCCCTTTTGTCAATCAGGCTGTACTCTCACTCTCCGAAACGGTCCCTTCCTTTGATTGTTTCCACAGCTGCGGTAGCGTGCCACTTTGCACGCGAACGAGCGTGAACGGTAAGCCTGCGTTCATACTTTGCAGCAGCGTCCACCAGCGACCATTAGCGTTCCTAGCCTCCGGCAGCGACAACGACTAGGAAGGTATAGCTATCGATCTAGCGTATGCCAGCGTCTACCCGTATCCACCAGCTTCACCAGTAGAGAGTATGGGGAAATAGGAAGATAGCAAACTACTGCTTTAGCGTCGTGGAATTGCGGCGGGTATAAACGCGCCGCCCAACTGCTAAAGCAGAGAATTATGTAATGTAATGTAATGTACCGTGTGAAGTTGTACGATGCGGTTGTGCACGCCGCAATTCTAGGGCGCCCAACCCAGGTGTTTGCTACCCTCCTAGTTCCCCTTACTCTCTACTCCCGGTCGTTGATGAACGGTGGTAGACCCTAGCAGACGCTAGATTGAAACCTATACTTCATTAGCCCTCGAGACCATGGTGGACGTTAGCAGGCACTGGTAGATGCTAGCTTGGTTTCTATACTTTCCAGTCGCAGACCTGCCGGACGCTCGAAATGCTTGTGGTCACTGGTGGACGCTGCTAGACGCTGTTGGACCCTGCGCAAAGTATGAAGGCAGCCTCACATTTTCGGGAGAAGGGTATGGTTGATCTACTTCTTGTAGCGTCTGAATGAAGCGGCAAACAATCGCTGACTAGTTTCCATTTTATACTCATCACAACACTGGCAGAGCTTCTTCCAATACACTTTTGACCGAAGAAAGTGGCACGCTACTGCAGCTGAGGATCTGTTCATTACGAACATGCCAAGGACCAGGACCAACTGAAGTGAGAACACAATTTGAGGCGGAGCCGGTGTTGTGACAAGTGGTTTGCTTACCACTCGCGCGATCTTCGTTCATATACCGGCTCGGCTACCGCCCAGGTCAACCAAGATATCTATCCCCTAGGGGACGGAAAATTGATCAGATTCGTCCGGGAGGATAAGATCATTGACTATTTACATCGGCTGCCCCAGCAAGTCATTGTATAGGCCACATCGCATTCAATAAGCCACAACGATTCCGAATGAAAGTAGAATGCGTGCCGCATCCCACGAAGGTATTGATCAGCGGGGAGGACTTTATCCTTTTATCCCTTATTGGGAAAGGTTGTGAACTATTGCGAACAGGTGTGATTACGATGAAAGCCATTATGCCCTCAGCCCCGACGAGTGCAGGTGAGCAAACGAGGCTGAAATTTGCCGAATGCCAGTGTGCGTCCAGCCTTGATTTTGTCGGATGAGGAATCCTTGGCTCGCAGTGTTGGACACTTTGCAATACGTGAGCATTGTAGGTTTCAGAAAACCGTGACTGGAGTTCGTATTTTTAGTGATGGTGGGTACGGTAGGATGCTGGTTAGGGTAAGCGAAGGCGCGACCAGCCGTAGTTCCAACGCTTGGCAGTGTGCGCTCATCTGCTTTCAGAGAATTCGCAAGGCAAATGTGGAATGCTGTGACATTGATCTTTTCAAATACTGCTTGTTCTACAAACGAGCTCACATGTAAGTTTCAAAATTCCCAACGGATTAGCAGCGAGGCATAATTTGTTTCATATTTGGGGCCCTATCACGGTCACTCCTGCTCCTGGTGAAACCGTTATTCCTGCTCCTCACAACGGCGGTTCACTTCTGTAGGCCCAACGTGCCAACGGGTTGCTCTAGTCTGCTCCACGCGAAATCTCCTGCATGAGTGATCGGTGCCCTGTCAAAAACACGTTTTCCAGTACATTTTCGCATTTTTTATGTGCAGAAGTTCCGATCCGCAAACTCAGAGGCTCCCACTTTCGCGCACTGAGTGAAGAGGGCACTGCGGTACTCACTATCCAAACGAAGGCTCTCCGAAGAAATTGCTTCATGTAACTGGTAACAAAATTCCGATGCTATATAAATAATTATTTCCAATTCCGAAATATGCCAACGATAGGATACCGTTGAAAACTAGTGTGACGTGATGAATACCGGGACCGCCCTTTGTCGTCTCGCCTTTATAGTTCGTCCTCATGTTTTTTATACCTTTCTCCACAGCTTCTTGTCCTTACAGCAGCTTCAAGCTCATTTGGATTCTTCCCCGTACTTGAGGTTTGATTGAGGCTGTCTTTGCCGATTTTGTCCACTCTTTTGGATTCTAAAAGTCAATTAACATCCAGTTACCGGTATTTGGGCGGCAAAGCGCAGATTATAATTGCGGAATGCGTCTTCAAGTGCTCGTGAGTGTAGGAAATGTTGCACTGAAAACCTTGAGAAGATTTCATCCGCGTCCTGTGACACCCTTCTATTATGTACTGCAAACGCTTTTCATGGAACCAGTTTGAATAAAAATGCTTGTGGTCGTCCGGCACTAGTTCACTTTACTAGCCTAATATTACAATATCAGGCAAGATTTTACCGACATTTCCCTGGGAAGGCAAATTTGATTTGAAAATTGTCGTAGTAGTTTAACCTCGTGAACACGAATATCCTTCCCGCTAGGCCCAGAACTGCTTAGCGCCCCCACCACGGGTGCCGGCGCCAAAATACACTGCAAAGCATAATCATAGTTCCACCCATGAATCTCCCAAAATCCCGTCCTACACGACGTTTTCAAAAATGCCCCCATACAGAAAATGTGGTAATTACCAATACCAATTCGCATGCCAACACCGAACTCTAGCTTGAAAAAAACAAATTTTTTTTCGTCAATTTTTTCAAAAATGGTCGTTCTGACAACGAAGCAAAAATATAGTTCCACCGAACAAATCGAATATTCCAACAACAAGTGCACAATAAAATGAGTGAATTTTGATCCAGTAATCTACTGGAACTCCATTTCTCCAATTAAGTTGGAAAATACGGTTGCCCATGTTCGATTAGAGATTTCCAGTAGGCTTTCAGCCGACTGCCCCAATGACTAGCTCCCTGAGCTCAAAGACCTTGTGGAATTGTGCATTACTCTCATGGATCATATGCACCATGAAGCCCCTCACATCCTCGCTTGGGTTTAGTCGGGGCTACTGGCTAGGGCAAAAGAGCGGTTTGGTGACAACCGAATCACGCTCGAGTGCTTCTACTGTCATGAACTGGTGAGGTGCATTCTCCTGCATGAAAACGGGACTTTCTTGCTGATTTCCACGTCAGAAAGCAAGGAGACGTCGTCGCATGACTTTTAGATAACGGAAGAAATCATTTCTTTTTTCATACGGAGCGCACTTTCAGACGTTCGCATTCATGTGATGGCAGCTCAGACCATGAGACCACATCCACTGAAGTTCCGCCCGGAAAAATGAAACTTGTCTTCCCTTAGGTCGTGCTAGCGGAATCGGTTTTCGTCGGAGCCGTCGCAGTTGAATTTTCACTCATCAGAAAGCACGACTGCGAGAAAAAAAACTGAAAAAAACACTACAGACAAGCAATAGGGCACTGCAGCCAAAAGCCAACCTCACTCCGTCGGGTGCGGCAACATCTTCGAGCAAAGCCAATTAGGTTTTCGCGATGGTTTTTCGTTGGAAACAGTACATAACTCATATTCCTCCTATGGGTGAACTCGTAAGATTTTCGATTTTTTGCGGCCCGAATCGCGCGCCATTCGACGACTCACCAGTTTTTGAGCCTTCTTTGCGATAAACTTTTCTTTTTCGAGGTCCATTAATGAAGTTCCGCTTGCCATAGCTTAGAAGAGGCAAGAAGTCATAATGATGAGAAGTTTCACCGAACAAAAATGAGATGCAGCCAGAAAATATGGGGTGGAACTTATTTTTGCTTCGTTGTCAGAACGACCAGAAAAAATTGAGGAAAAAAAATTGTTTTTTCAAGCTAGTGTTTGGTATTGGCATGCGAATTGGTATTGGTAATTACCACATTTTCTGCACGGGGGCATTTTTGAAAACCTCGTGTGAGGCGGGATTTTGTGAGATCCATGGGTGGAACTATGATTAGGCTTCGCAGTGTACTTCATATCACCAAAATTACTGACAGCTTGCCTACAGGGATAGTTTGACCTCTGAACACGTATATCACATATACAGGGGAAAGGGAGCAAAAAAAAAGACCTTTTTCTTCCTTGACTTTCGAGGCGCTATAAGTTACACTTTATTAAGTTTTTGTCGGGCATTTCTACCACCGTATTGAC